TTAAGAAAAGCAGGAGGAAAGCAGATCAACACATTCCCTCATCAGTCTAGTATATCACTTTATGGATCTTTCCGTTCCTCTGTTATGTAGCAGGCTGGGAGGGATGTCAGTTGAACAGAATCCAAAGACACACAAGTCTTGAACTAGCTAAGATACAAAAGATACCCACTCGAAGAATCAAGAAGCCCTAATTCCATTTTTTATGACCCAACTATTGTGACATAATCAAATTCCCAACTTTCAATTTTTGAACAATGAAACCTTGACTTAGCCTAAAAGGATTCGAACATGGCGAAATTCAAAGAAAATAACTGCAACGAAGATAAAAGGGAGGAAAAGAACTTACTCGAAATGGCTAGCTAAGTCAGGCTTTTCCTCGAACACATTATGTACTCCATTATTGCTAGGAATTTCAACCTTATAAATGCAAAGATTAAACTCATGTACATGTACACATATATGCATATAAACATGTTTGTATGTACATGTAAACAAATATAGCAGAGAGAGAAAGAAAGCGGAAACCTTAGGGGGCAATGGGGAGGTAGGTTGAGATGGGGAAGTTCCAGAATTTGAGGCAGACGGAGGTGATCGTGGTGCAGAGGGGGCGTTCGCTGCCATATGTATTAGAGCTTGCGATGTTGCAGAGAGGAAAGCTGTTTCCGATTCTTTCTTCCTGCTGTCTCGACTACAGTGATAAACGTACGACTGTAGCAACCGTCTCCCCAAAAAAAAAAAAGAAAAACTGTTGGAAAATTAAATTTGAATTAATTAATTAAATAAAGGAGGAAAAAACAAAGCGACTACAATAAAGAGTAGAAGACTAGACTGCAACTTTGCTGCTTATATATATATATATAATTTAGAGAGGGTGTGAGAAGAAAAAAGTATCCGGACGTGAAATGAAAAAATTGAGCGTCAGGGTTTTATGGTAGAAGAGTTAAAAAGGTTTGAACTTTAGGTTTCTGCAAGTTGTATATATTTAAATTAAAAATTCATGTATTTATGCATTAAATAAATAAAAATTATATATATATATATTATATTTTTATAATAACTTAGTGCATTTGAAATCTTATTGGAAAAGCAAATCACTTCGCTAACTTTATTGATCTAGATTTTACACAACGTTTAACAAGAAGATTTTAATTTCTAATATAAGAAAAATAAAAAATTTAAGAATTTACATAAAATATGAACAGAAGATGTTCCCCCTCCCCAATCCCATCTTCCATACCCTTCACCAGAAATCTCCACAAGAGCAAACCCCATCTCTGAAATGATGAAAACGCTTGTTGTCTCTTATAACTATCTCCCTCTCCACCACCTTTGATATCAACTTCATTGCATTATGACAGTCAAGGCAA